TAGTACCGCCTCGAATTGATATTATAACATTTGCCTATCCTACACCCGACTATAGGTTGCACTTGGCCTATAGTATTGAATTGTGTAGTTAGGTTCGAGTCACAATGATATGATTGATATTGTCACCATATATCATAGTGATAATATCATGATTATAGTCATAATATTATGATATGACACTATTATATTATGATATGACACTATATCATGATATAATATTATGATATGATTGATATTGTCACTATATCATAGTGATAACATCATGATATGAGATGATATTATCACTACGATAATGATAATATAATGATTATAGTCATAATATTATGATATGACACTATTATATTATGAATATTATCACTATATCATAGTGATAATATAATGATATGACACTGATATGATCACTATATCATAATGATAATATCTTAATATGGCACTAATAATATAATGATATGCCACTAATATGATTTATATGAGAATGATAATACTACAACTGACACGTGTTTTAAAAAAGTTAATTTTTCTTTTCTAAAAATATAGCAAAAAGAATGTCATTGTGTAGACCATAGTTAATGCATTTTTTTTAATATTTGAGTTAAAAAGAATGTTATATGATTCGATTACGAAAAATAAGGGATTAGACAAAGTTGTTGTTGGAAAATCAGTTGTCTCACCTCTCTCCTCCAACTATCTGATCTCCCCTTTCTCCTCTGCTTTTTTCACGTCAGACCATTATGGGTTTTGCACAATAACCGCTCTCTTTGTTTATTATTTTTGTCACTTAAAATGATAAACTGTGCCGGAAAAAATCCCAAAAGTACATAAGTTCTTAAAAAAATTCCCAAAATACATAAGTTATAATTTTTTTCCCAAAAGTACACATGTTCACATTCACCGTTTTTTAATAAAACGATTACGTGTTCACCGTCTTTGTTTAAAACGGTGAGTAACGAGTGAGCCATTCACCGCTTTAAACAAAAACGGTGAAAACATCACCGTTTTAATAAACGCGGTGAAGGGCTTCCCGTTTTTTACTTCCACGATGAAAGCGACGTGGATGGCTGACGTGGACAAACACGGTGAATACCCTGTGTTTGTTTACGTCAGCGATCCGCGTCGCTTATCCACTCACCGTTGCCGTTAGATGCGGTGAGGCGCGGATCGTGGTTTTCTTCCCAGATTCGACGCCTCACAGCAAGCCACGCCACTCGATCCGCATCGCTCACCGTTTTCCATAAAGGCGATGCATTCACCGTCGCTGTTAAAGACGGTGATTGCTCTCCATTTATTTTCGCAGATCCCTCCCTTCCCTCCCTATAAATAGAACAACCACCCCCCCCCCCCCCCCCCCCCCCCCCCCCCCCCCCCCCCCCAAATCACACCACCACATTTACACTTCTTTCTCCCTCAATCTATCCATTCTAGTCTCGTTCCAAGTATGCTCTGTGGTTGAGGCTAAGTCTGATCTTCCACATCAGAAAGAATTACTAGAGTTATACCCTAAAGCCACCGTCCCTTATAAACTCGTCGAACCTCTGTCCGGCTTCCGCCAAAAAATGGACAAAGAGGCTCTTCGGGTAGGTTTTTTGTTTTACTTTTGTGATTTATTTTAATCGATACAATTTGATTTTGTGATTTTTTTAACCAAAACAATCTGATTTCATTACTTTTTTTTTATAGATGGGTGCCGAGATATACGATCCTCGATTGTATATCCATTATGGCCCAACGATACGAGGTATTTAACCGATCAACAAGCACATCGCTCCCGTGCTATTTGGGATAACAATCCGGTAAATTGATGATTTATCTTGTTTTATTTTATTATTTTCTAAGGTATTATTTTGCTTTCTTTAAACTAACAAATTAATGTTTTTCCTATTTTTTTGTAGGAATCACTTATTCTCGTCGTTCATAAAGGGGCCACAAACTTGTCCGCTTGGCATGACTGGTTGGCGCCCTATATAGAGAGGACCGAGTTGGGTATGCTAAGGCATTTCATGCGGATCGAAATCGACAACGATCTCCTTATGGCAATGGCGGAGCGATGGCGCCCCGAAACCCATACGTTCCACCTTCTGGAGGGGGGAAATGACGACCTCCTTCGTAACCTCCTGTATAACCACCTCCTTCGTAGTTGCTCGAACTACCACCCCATCCGTACCCTCCTGCAAAACCATCATCATAAGAATACTGGTGAGAATAAGTTTCACCGACCGCCTCGGTCTCAACATACACCTATGCTTGCCTCATCCTGTTATCGGTTAGGAACTGTAACATCATTGTAACCGCGTTATCATCGTTTATGACAACTTCTTGGTACAAAACCCCGCCAGCACTCATGTCTGGATACCGGTAACTAATTTTACCAAGTCTCGTCTGTCCGCCGTACAAATCTTGTCTGCCCAAATATCACAGAGTTCTTGAAAATTGAATCGCGACTCAATTTGCAGCGAAGTGGATACACCGTCCTCATAATCAATCCCTATGTCAGAGTTTGTCACCCTTCCATTCCACCGAATAATAAGCTGAAACTTCTTGAATTTACCCATATCTACAATTTGCAATAAATAACTATTAGCTTAATTCCAGTAATTCATAACATCGGCCATATTTGCTACGATAAGTAATTCATAACATAACAATATAACTACTAAAAACAACCATTAGGCTACAATACGAAAATTAAATCATACCAAAAATTCATGTTCTGTGTATGTTGCTCGGTTTTGGTTGCTGAAATTTGAAGGGGGAGAGGGATTACGTTTTTACAACTGCTGCTGGGAGTGGTATTTAAAGGAAAATCGGTCAGCATTCACCGCCTTTGTCTCAAACAGTGAAATACATCACCGAGTTTGTCTCAAACGATGAACATTAGGTGGTTGTGACCTAATTTTCACCTACCAGGGGTGGGAAACGTGGGAAACAATCACCGCCGTAACCTAGGGGCTTTTAATTTAAACAGTGATGTCTTTCACCGTTTTTGTTAAACGCGGTGAACACTTCACCGCTTTAATTAAAGACGTGAACACGTCATCGTTTTATTCAAAAACGGTGAATTGTTCACCGTCGTTGTCAAACGCGGTGATTATATTCACTGCGTTTGTCAAAAACGGTGAATGTGAAACATGTGTACTTTTGGAAAAAAATTATAACTTATGTATTTTGGGAATTTTTTTTAAGAACTAGTGTACTTTGGAATTTTTTCCAAACTGTGCCTAGCTTTTTGCTTTCTTTAATTAAAAAATTTTAAAAAGGAAAGTGAGAACAAAATAAAAGTTAAATAAAAAAGAAATCATCACATTCCCCTACCCTAGCAGTCACCTGTTTTTTCAATTTTGAATTTTTTTTTTGTTGGAGATATTATCATAAACTGAGAAAAAATAGACATTAATAGTTTTCTACTTTGCGTTACTAGCTCTACAGAGTAGATTTGTATCGGTTTATGACTAATTTTTAGTATTGGTTAACCACAGATTATCAGGTAACTCTTGAACCTCTCACTACTCCGGAACGGTGTACAGTCCTGTTTAGACAACACTGCTATCTCTACTTCATTGCTAGGCTAGGCTAGGGCTGTTAGCGGTGCGGTTTCGGTTTTAACCGCACCGCCAAGTCGGTTAGCCGAGGCTGATGAAGAGCAGAATTCAACAACCGCAACCGCAAACTTCGGCGGTTAGCCGAAAACCGCAACCTCCAGCATCGGTTCGGTGAGGCGGTTAGCTGATAACCGGTAGCAGCTAGCTTTATGGAGAGACTCGTCAGCGACAGCTTAAGGAATGACGATGAGATCTCTGTTTCTGACAAGGACGACGGGTTGACGACGGCGTGAAAACGAGACAACGACTGGATGTGAAGAAGAGGTCGACTGGGCGATAACAAAAAGCAACTCGACGGGACGCCGGCGGGAGGAAGAGATGACGACTAGACGAGAAGACGATGTCGTCCGGCACGAGGATGGAAGCTGGTTGCAGCAGGAGGCGGAAATCTGGAAGGGAATGGAGGAGGCAGGGATGGAGGAAGTTAGGTCATGGAATTTGGATATGGAATCAACGGATTGGCTTTGCGGTGTGGTTTTGACGGTTTTTGCGGTGCACCGTCGATTTCACGGTTAGCAACCGAACACCACCCGATTAGCTGCTTCCCCTAATTCTCCCAACCGACACCGCTAACCGCAAGTGATAAACAGTTTTCGGTTAGCCGACTAACCGAAATTATCGGTGCGGTTTTACGGTTAGCCGACTAACTGGCAACCGTTTATCACCCCTAGGCTAGGCTGCTACTTTATTCACTGCCTCCTTCGAGCTGGCGGGCTTTGGCGGCTTGCGCCCTCATTCGCAAAAAGCCCATGATGGACAACTAACCAGGCCGAACGAGTCTGGATGAGGCCCGTTAGAAGCAATGAGGCCATGATAGAGATCGTTTCCTTATGAAGAAAGCAACAACGAAACCGATCTTGACCACCCACAATTTGTGTGTTGTGAAGCTGAAGCAGGCAGAAAGAAAGGGGGTATGTGGTCAATGTAACGATCTCTTCGTCCCCTGCGGATCCCCATTTTCCCTTTCCTTCCCTCTTCTCTCCATCTCTTAAGGTAAACTCTTGATCAGCAATTACGTTTCCTTCTTTTTCTTCCCTTTTTACTTCTACCATTTCCCCTCTGCAATTGTGGATCTGAGTTTTTCGTCATTTTGATTCGATCTACTCCGCCATTATTTCTATTCAATGCTCATTCCATCTCCCTCGTCGCTCTTTTCCCCTTCTCGTTTTCCTCTCATTCCCGCGCATTCCGGTGGCCGATTGCTTGATTCGTTCTTCTGTTTGTTTGCTTTTTGGATGATTTGTTTTCTTGATCTGTCGAGCGGGTTTCTTGGCGGGTGATGAAATGCTGGGATTCAGATGGATCCACTAGCTTCGGAAATGGTGTTTGTTGTAAGTTACTGGGCGGTATCCGGTTGAAAAAGGACCGCTGATGATAGGGTAGGAAGGGTAGGCTAACACCTTCATGGACTGCGATTCCATCTTGGATCTGCTGGGGGAAATTTTGATCGCTGATGTGCTCAAATTATACGCCCATGGATTAGCCACCAAGAATTGCGAATGTATGTGATATCGTTCGTTTTTAGGGTTTTCAATGGGCTTGTATGTGTGGGTCTGTTTCTTCTCGCCGTTCAAATTGTTGGTACATGTTTTATCTGTGTTTGGGGTTTGTCATGCATCCGCTTGAGAATCCTTATGTTTCAGATGAAAATTGATCTGTTTAATACTGGGGTTATTGGAACGATCTCTTAACATTGTGGGGGTTTGGATTTCATTCCCAGTTCGGAGCAACTCTGCGATGGGGGAAAATGTGGACCCTGAACAGCAAAGGATACTGGACGAGAACTTTTCAGGGAGTTTGCAGATTGATCCCAAGAGAGCTCGGTTCCCTAACTGCATTGTCTGGACACCTCTGCCTGTAATTTCATGGCTCATTCCTTTCATTGGCCATGTTGGCATCTGCAGAGAAGATGGTGTGATCTTGGACTTTGCTGGGCCTAATTTCGTATGCGTCGATAATTTTGCGTTCGGGGCAGTTACTCGCTACATCCAGATAAACAAGGAAAAGGTAACAATTTTTTTTTTTGTTTGCACCCTGATCTCCCAGCTGCTACATGTTGAAAACAGTATCTTGGTTTGATTAGCTTGCCTTTACATTTGCATCTCTTATATCTTACTTGGTCACTTTTGAAAGAACCTGAACTCTCTGCATCAATATGTGTTCCATGAGTTGTTTGTTACCATTGCTTTGTCACATTTGTCAGCTGCTATGGTGGAAGAGAAGAAGGTTTGGGGTCTGTTTATTTTTGCTTTAAGAAATGACTTCTATCAAGGTGTAGAAGTTGGGGAAAGTGATTATGAACTTTTGAGTTTGATCTCACTCTTGGACATGTTGGCCAGGACTGTAACATGGTCTGCCAGGGGTCCACATTTATTGGGCAGGACCAGGATGAATACGACATGGATGATGCACTTGGGAAAGAAGGATCGACGTGGGACAATGCCTTGAGAAAGGGCACCCAGGAGTTCCAACACCATGCATACAGCCTCTTCACTTGCAATTGCCACTCTTTTGTTGCCAACAATTTGAACCGGTTGGGATTCCAGTCAGGCGGGTGGAATGTCGTGAACGTGGCGCTTCTAGTGTTGATCAAAGGTCAGTGGGTGAGTACAGGGGCGATGTTGAAATCTTACTTGCCATTTGTGATAGTGACTGGGTTTGGAATTATTTTTGGTGGGATCACGTTCCTCACATTCTTGGCCTTCTTCATGGTCCTTCTGGTTGGTTGGTTTATTCTGGCTACTTACTGTTTCAAGGATTTCATCCAGTTGTAACACGCCTATTCTGTTCCTTCGACCCGGTTTGCTGTACTGAAATGTGCTGCTGCTCCTCCTGATGATGTAGTAACAAGAGAGTTGCGAGTTGATGTGTACTTGGGATGAAATTATGAAAACTGCTTTGTGTACCTCAATCTAATGTAATCACCTTCAACAATTTGTTCCTTGGCTGATAGCTAACTTTCTTTTCCGTAGTGTACGTTGCTGAATCCAAGAGCCTAAAACATGTGCGATTGTTGTATTTTGCAATCAGATAGATACGATCATACTACCAATCATGGCAATTAGAACAATCGGTCACCAATGAGTAATATTAATGCCCTCAACGAACGATTAAGAGATACTATCCAACGGCTAAGTCAACTAATAACAAAATTTCCCTTTTTTACTCCAATCTCTCGGGATCGGATGAGGTCAGTAATTTTAGGGTGAGTAATTATGAGTAATATATCCATATAAGCGTGACATCAGCATCCATCTCTTTCATGAAAAACCTTTTATTTTTCCCCTTTAATCATGAATAGACGATTTCTCTATCGTTTTAAGTCGGAATTTTAATTTTTTTTGCACAGATAAATCAGATTAAAAATATCCACTTTAATATATTTTTAGAACAAAAAAAATTGAGGCATTTGTTACCAGTCAATACCATATGGTATTGAATAGGAGCATATCATAGGGTATGAAAGCGTACCATGATGGTATGAACATACCAAGACTGTAGGAAGGTTGAATACATGATAGTAGGAGTATACTAACTGTCATTTACGACTTTCATCATTGTTTACCACAAGTTACCACCCCCATACTAGGGTGGTAAAGTACGATAATTTTTTGTATTTTATTTTTTTACCCAGAAATTTGTAGATCCAAATAGATCACGATGAACTCATTCATTCTGAGAAAATATTTTCAAAAATGACTTAAAAACGAAGGAGTTAACATATGGCATGGAGTTGGTAACGAGAAGTATGAAAAGAATTCTCAAAAAATATTGAAAATTGATCTCATTTTGTATAGCACAACGAACTCGTTCCATCTGTGCAAAAAGAAAATTGAAATTCGAGTTAGAACGAAGAAGATATAAGCCGATTAAGAAAACTAGGAAAAGTAAAATGTCTATAATTCTCCACCATTAGATCTAAATTTTCTGTTTCCACTTAAATCGGTTGGCTGAAATTTGGTTACTCATTGTTCAGTAACCAAGGATTACTGATTGTATTCTAACCCTCTTCGCTTCTCTTCATTTCCTTTCCCTTTGTTTCCTTATCTTTCTCAACAACCAAACCCCGCAAAGCCTCGATCAACTTCCTATGGAGTGACAAATTGGTATAAGAGCCCGGTCTTGGCACCATGACGGTGACATGCATTGAGGAACGCCTTAATTCTTTCACTTTCGCAGATGAGGCTGGGATAGAGAAATCAATGTATTTTTGCTCTTTGCCACGAGGGAGAAAAGTCTTGTTTACAAAAATGCTAAGTGTAGTACCTTGTGCGGAAAAGCAAAGTTGAGGCTCAAAGTTTGAGTCCTCTTTTGAAAATAAGTAGGAGTACCACCAAGGCGTCCATTCCTTTTCCCATGTTTTTCTTAAGAGCCCCCGGTGCACGTGAAATGTCTAGATCTCTTTAGTCGACAAGGTCCTCATCCAAGAGTTTGTGTTGTCACTAAGAGATGGAAGTACAGTTTCTCGATTCTTATTATCTTTCAAAGTGCTATCGATGAACTCAGTGCATACCATTATGATTGTCTATCAAGTTGTCCTATTTCAGTAGGTTTGCTTGAGGACAAGCAAACGCCTAATTGTGGGGGAGTTGATAACACTCAAATTGGTGTTATTTAGTCTCCATATTCTAGGTGTTTTCATGTCATTCTTTGGTCTTAATGGTTAAAATATTGTCATTTGCATCCCAAATTCGTTCCTCCGAGCGTATCATGTCATATTAGGGTGCATTCAAAGATACTTGCATTTTAGGAACCAAATCAGGGCACAAGTGTAGGATTTGGAGCAATATAGGAAGATCAAGCAAGAAGAACAGAGATCACGGCTGAAAGAGGAGCCTGCAAACTTCAACCAAAGATCAAGGCGCTTGAAAAAGATCGCAAACATTCGTTGCAAATTTGGGGAGATTTGGCTCTATTTTTTTCTTGAGAGGCAATTTCCGGTGAGCCCCCGGCGAAGCTCCGGCGACAACTCTCCGACCTGCTTTTGTGCAATTTTTCGGCTCCCTCGCCCTCTCCTCACTATTAGACAACTACTACCAATTCGAAAAAACACCAATACCATTATAGGTTAAAAAAACAAGAAATCAATAACAAAACATGAAAACACTAAATCACTACCACAACATATACCACTTATTAACCAATATCATTCCTTATTTAACTAATACCAAACATGAAGATTAATACCAATATGATATGATCCTAATTCAAGAAACCACCCAAACTTGGACCAAAAATCAGAATTGCACAACGTCGAACTCTTTTGTGGTTTTCTCCTTTCTTGAATAGCACGAAAATAAAGATAGTCGCGAAAATCGATCAAACATATCCGAACTCGTGAGAAGGGACAATTGGTATATGAAACCAATCAAACAATCTCGAACCCGTGGATAAGGCCAACTGATATATTCGATGCTCGCCACAACTAGACGCGTTCTCTAGTTGATAAGAGACCACTCAATTCTCCCGAATTCTCAAAGGAGAGATTAAGCAAAAACGTTCACAAAGGAACTCGAGTAAACACTCAATGTAATTGATATTTGAAATCTGGGGTACAAAATTCGTAGCTCTTACAGCCTCTATTTATAGAGGCCATAAAAACATAATTCTAACCTAAAAGGAATAGGAAATCAAATCCCAAACTAACTAGAAAACATAATACTAAAATAAGGACTATAACTCGTTTTGATGACCAAAGAAAGCTCCTCTACAGCTAAGTAATCTCCAAACACGTTTTTAATGCTTAAGGAAGCTCCTTAGTGATTAAGCAATCTCTTTCCTTGTCCTTTTCACATTTGGACGACTTGGGCAGCAAGGATGGACGTTTTGGGCTCCAAGAAATGTTGTAGGCCGGATCCTTAATGCATTCTCCATTTTATCCATCAAGAATGCTCCTTGTTGATCCTTAAATCGTCGAATATGAATCTTCATTTTTGGACCATGGGAATTAAATATCGCGCTAGTCGATATCACATCATTCCCACTCTCTTGAAGAAGATTCGACCTCGAATCTTTGCAGAATTTTGATCTCCGATCACCACCATCCTTCTTGGTCTTCCAACAAAATTGTCTTCGTCGTGAGAATCGTATTATTCCCCCCCCCCCCCTTCTTGAAGATAACTCGACCACGAATTGTAGAGACGCCATTGTGATGAAAGCTCTCTACGCAGCGCTGAATCTCTTGTCGATGCTCTAAGTGGGCTTCCTCTTCAAAATTGGTATCCCGAATGAAGAAATCAACATGAACATATGTGGGAACAATTGGTAAATGCTCCATGACTTTGGTAGCTTCATCTTCTCCATGAAATTCTTGTTCCTCATTGTATTGCTCAACTTCTGGCGCACTCAAATCTGGAACATCAACAAGAATATCTTCTTTCACCTCTTCTGCCTCTTGTAATTCTTCTATTTCAAGTTTTGATTCTTCTTGAGATGAAATCAAAGCTTGTGCATCCTCTTCACAAGTGACTAGAGTAAGTCCATCAATAAGAACCTCTTCTTTCGCTTCCACTTCTCCTTTGACTTCATTTTCTACTCTGGCTTGAAACTCTTTCTCTTTCTTATTTTTCTCTTCTTCCATTAGCTCCTTTACTCTAGCTAAGCATCCCAATATCTCTTCGTGAAGAGATTCCAACCACTTGAAAGTTGTGATGTGCTCTTTGGAGATATTATAGGTGCCGGAACTTCCTTTTTATGATAAGTAGTTTGCCTACTTAACTTGATCTCTCATGAAGGGAAAGATCGCGTATAGTAGTCATCATATATCATCATGTACAAATCTCTTTCTCATGACCCGCTTCATTGTTGCCCATGATTCTACTTGTCCACTGCCATCTTGTCTCCATGATGAACACAATCGATCCCACCATTCATGAGCATAATGAGTGAATGTCATAGCAGCAATTTGCACCCTTTTCCAATCTGAATAATAATAATCTTCAAAGAAGTCTTCCATCTCCTCCTCCCAATTAAGATAGGCTTCAGGAACCCTTTCCTATAAAACAAGGGAATGTAGAGCTTCACACCTTTTCTATAGATCTCCATCATAGCTTTATGTATGCTTCGCCGCTGAGTTTGAACCAGTAATCTTCAAATTGCCGCTGATTTTTAACCCGCTTTTCGCCACTGAGTTTGAACCGGGCTCTTGATACCACTTGATATGATCCAATTTCGAGAATCCACCCAAACTTGAACCAAAAATCAGAATTGCACAACGTCGAACTCTTTTGGGGTTTTATCCTTTCTTGAATCGCACGGAAATAAAGATAGTCGCGGAAATCGATCAAACATATCTAAACTCGTGAGAAGGGCCAATTGGTATAGGAAACCAATCTAACAATCTCGAACCCATGGATAAGCCCAACCGATATAGTCGATGCTCGCCACAACTAGACGCGTCCTCTAGTTGATAAGAGACCACTCAATTCTCCCGAATCCTCAAAGGAGAGATTAAACAAAAACGTTCACAAAGGAACTCGAGTAAACACTCAATGTAATTGATATTTGAAATCTGGGGTACAAAATTCGTAGCTCTTACAGCCTCTATTTATAGAGGTCATAAAAACATAAATCTAACCTAAAAGGAATAGGAAATCAAATCCCAAACTAACTAGTACTTAAATAAGGACTATAACTTGTTTTTATGACCAAAGAAAGCTCCTTAGGAGCTAAGTAATCTCCAAACACGTTTTTAATGCTTAAGGAAGCTCCTTAGTGGTTAAGCAATCTCTTTCCTTGTCCTTTTCACATTTGGACGACTTGGGCAGCAAGGATGGACGTTTTGGGCTTCAAGAAATGTTGTAGGCCGGATCCTTAATGCAGTCTCCATTTTATCCATCAAGAATGCTCCTAGTTGATCCTTAAATCGTCGAATATGAATCTTCATTTTTGGACCACGGAAATTAAATATCGCACTAGTTGATATCGCATCACAATACAATATCATCACTGCCAAAACATGATAATCAATACCAATGCAAAAAGTAATATCATTACAAAAAAAATTAATACAAATATGAAATCAGGTGTAGTATTTTTTTCTCATGCTAGAAACATATATTTTATTATACAAATAAATGATATAAAAATATAAATATAAATAATTTAATTATGATTTCAAATAATGATGATAAAAGTTATCCGGCCAAGCTAGTTTATTTTGGAGAATTTTACTTAGTAAAATTATATAACTTTGACCTTGACTGGTCAAATTCCACCATATTTTTTGCAAAACTTGCGAACTTTTGTTATCTATTAACTATGCTATGGTTATCAACTAATTCATCTTACTCATAGATTTACAGAATGAATCTACAGTATAAACTATAAATAAGCAAACCCAAAGGTTCATAAGTGATCAAAATAAACAATGAGGATACAAAATTGGGGCATTTTTGTTGCTCTTTTATCATTAATACTTGCAACTTCTTTCACGGAGGTAAATGGCATACATATTCCCTTTTTTGCATATCAACATGTGACTGTATACAATGAGCTAGAAGGAGGACAAGAGCTGATGGTTCATTGCAAGTCCAAAGACAACGATATCGGTGTCCATGTTATGAAGCCACACGAGAACATTCAATGGAGTTTTCATTTAAACTTCTTTCAGACGACACAGTTTTATTGTGCCATGAAGTGGGGAGAGGAAAAAGTTCACTGGTTTGACATCTACATTCCGGACAGAGATTTCGACCGCTGTATCAAGTGCTCATGGGGCGTCAAGCAAAATGGCCCCTGTCTTTACGATAAGGCCTCTCGTGCTTTTGATATTTGTTACCAGTGGAATCCTGGGCGATGATGCATTAAGGTTTGATAAAAATTATTTCTTAGATTTAAGGTTTTATTAATTGTAATAATGATTATATATTATGATAGTTTGGTTGTTTTCTTGAATTGTTAGTGAGAATATATTCGACATCGGAATATAATCACGGGTATTATTGTCTCTATGTTGGCTATTATTATGAATGTTTTTATGAGTAGTTGGTTACAATGGGAGTCGCAAAACTTCTTTTAAAAAGATTGTATAGCCTTTCTACCAAGAGCTCGCTTACTATGAAACATTGGGATATATAAAGGTACAAGTTTACTATATATTATCATAAAATAATTTGTATGGAAATATTTAAGTAGAAAATTTTGTACCATAAGATTAAGGTATATTTTCAGTTTGTAACATTAAAAGATTTGTATAAAAATATAGGCATATGTTGAATTTGTACCATAATGTCAGAAGTAAAAATTCAGTTTGTACTATAAAATTTTTTAAAACAAACCACCCTCACTGAAAAATTTGCTTGTGACAACATAATGACAAATTTAATCATTCCACCCATAAATCCGTCAAAATTAACAAAACAGTTAATTTTGTTGAGTAGACTAACGAAAAGTGCTCACACAACGACTTTTTTTATAAGTGTGATATAGATTTATTTTTATAAGGGTAGCCATTTTCACGACTTTTTATAATAACTTGCCCGTTTGGATATATAGATATTTTATTTTAATTATTTTTTTCAGAATTATTTTAATTAGCTTAAATGGAAACAACTAATACACAAAGAAAAAATTACTCTCTATGGAGTATGGACATCCATGTGATAAACTATGATTAAATAAAAAACACCAACAATGAATCTTCTTCGACGCGTCGGTGATATCCACCTCTAACGTCTCGTTCATCGTGGCTCACAAGAAGGCGACACGCCGATTGCGTCACCATCAACATCTTCAATCAACCGTCCTCGTGAGTTTATCTTTTTGCTTCCCCTTTCCTCACTTCAGGTGGAGTGATAACATGTAAATCAAACTAGGGAAATCATGTAGAAATATGCAAGATACAATATATTTATGTTGTTTTCCTATTTGATTTGAACAAGACTATTCCACAGAGAGAGATACGCTCCCAATATATATTATTATTACGTAAACATTTGCCAATTCTCGTGTCCGTACACTCTTATTTATTATACTTCTGCGCACGAGTTAATCATATATCTAAGTACTAAATTAATTTGCAATAACTAGACTTCATACTATCTTATCATTGTCAGACAAACATCATATCACTACGTTAAGTCTTCATAATATCATCTCACCACCATTTTGCATTATCTTATCACTATGATAAGACCGACAATACCATCAAACACTGTCATTGTGTTATCACTATGGTAATGACCTACTCAATATCGATCGAGCGGTACATGAAATAGTTGGTCAGTTTTGTATAAGACATTAATAACCACCGCAATTATAAAACAATTATATGTTATTACAGATTTGTTGTCTACTCAGGGACCAGTGTTCTATTTCGAACAAACAGAAATCAAGATTTGAGCCCTATTAAGACCGTGAACTGGAGCCACAAACCGTGAACATCGAGCAGTCCAGCGAGGTTTCAGAGGTTACTGACGCCAAGGGAGTTCACGGTCGCTAAGACTGCGAACTGGGGTCATTAACCGTAAACCCAGGAGAGTGAAGCGGTGCGTTTTGGAGACGACTGAGTTCACGGACGCGTTCAGGTGTTCACGACCGTGAACTGGCCAACGCGGCCGTGAACTGGTCACTTTCGGGCAAATATGAAGACAGCAGCGTGGAGATAGAAAGGAGAGCGGGTTTCTGGAGAGAAATTCAATTGGAGTCTAATGAGAGAGAGAGAGAGAGAGAGAGAGAGAGAGAGAGAGAGAGAGAGAGAGAGTGCTAGAGTGATCTTGGAGCATCATTGGAGGCTTGGGTGGATCTTGAAGACAAGGATTCAAGCCTAGAAGAAGAAGAAGATCTTGAGCTCAAATTTGTAATCCCTCTCTTCTCTCTCAATAAACTCACTCTTTTCTCTTGGGTGTTGTAGATCCCTAACTAATACTTTGTAATTACTTGTTTTAGATTGAATAATTTTGTATAGGTTTGCATCAATTTGAATATTAGAGGTGTTTTCATGGTGATTGTGCTTAGTTGTGCTTTCTAAATCTTGTGTGCTTGCCTAACCTAGATTAGAGGAAAACCACGCCCTTTTAGGTAGGCTTGACAAGCTTGGTTTTCCTGGGCACTTTGTGCCTGCTATCTAGGTTAGAGATGAGCATCCCCCTTGGCTCAAGTTTGAATCTAGGTTGGTCGTGATTAAGCCGCTCAAAATCCGGTTTGAGGGAGAGACCTAAGCAACCCCAAGAGAATGAGTGAGAGGATCGATTCCGTGACAAATCGATCTCTTGTGAATCCATCCATGACAAATGGATCACTAGTTGCTCCTCCTAGCAGTTCCCCTAGACGTCGTGAGTGGATCGATCTCGTGACAAATCGATCGCTTGTGAATTGATTCCGTGACAAATCGATCATTGGTTGCTCACCCTCTGTTATACATATAATTAGTAGAATAATAATAATTAATAATGTTAGTTAAGTAGGGTTAGGCGACTAACCTAGGCCGATTAGGTTAGGATTAGTTCATTAGGGTTTTGGGTTTATTCCTATAAATATGTAGTTTGGGTTTACGTCATAGGGAGTCAAGAAAAGTATGAAGCAGAGTGGTCTCCTAAACCTAATATCTCTCAACTCCTAATTTATATTCTCTTCTAATCCAAGGCCTCAGCCGATTCCCAATTCTATTTTGTTCTTCACATCTAATCCCAACCCTAAATCTCTATTGGTTACGAGTACTTGTGAATGCCGAAGATCAGTCCCTAGAATCCCTAGAAGCGGGGTTCTTTCAGTGGTATCAGAGCCCGGTTGTAGGCGCTCGTACTGGAGCCATGTCGAGATTCGATGAGCTCTCAATCAGCGAACTCACAAAGATTTTGAAGTTGAAGCTGGAAGAAGTAAGGAGGAACAAGGTTACCTCATCCTTACCGCTTTCTGGGAATATGGATCCATCCAAAGCTGCAACCGAGCCAAAAATGGCAGCCAAGAAGATAGCGACATCTCCTGCGATATCACCATCAGCAGTCGTCTCTTCACCGGTAGCGGCAAAGACAGACGTCGAGGAGCAGTTAGCGACCGAGCCGCCAACCACGAAAAGACGGCTAACATCGTTGGGTTGAAAGAGGGACCTGCGATGACTGAACCACCAACGGTGGAGGAGTTGATGGTGGCGGATTCGCCAGCGACAAAGGAGGTGCCGAGCAGCATCGGACCGAGGAAAGAAGCAAAGACTCCACCATCGGCTGTTGCTGCCAATTCCGCAAAGCAGGCAAATCCGGCCGCGACGAAGAAGGAAAAAGACCCGAGAGGGTGTCTAGATACAATAATGGATTTCCTAAATCCGTCCACTCCACCGCCTAGGAAACCACCAGACGCATCAACGACGAACAGGAATCCGTTCCGTGCAAGGTCGGACGAGGAAGAGGAGCTGAAGACGATAACCAAGAAGTCGGCGTTGCACTGCTCGGGACTGGTTGCCGACGAAGAGACGGAGACGATGGCGGTTATCGCCGTCGAGCTTGCCGAGACACCGCGGGATGGGCTACTCGCCGGAGTCGGAGTGGGCGTCGGGTTGCTCGCTGTCGGGAAAAGAAGAGGCGAGGAAGAAGGAAGGCGGTGGCGGTGGCGGTCTCCCTTCTTCATCAACCCTAGGTAGCGCCAACAAGAGGCCAGAACCGTTGGGCCGAGCTGTGGTTCAGGTCGCTGGGCTCGAGTGGGCCGGAGTGGATTAGCAATCGGAGCGGGCCGAAATAAACCCACTGGTTAAGTCTTTTCTGTATGATTGTGGGCCGACATATGAAGAAGTTGAATCCAACTTGGGCTTTGTGTTAAGGAAATCAGATTGGGAGGAAGTTATTATGTTGGTGGATAGGCTTGCAAGTGAGTTATGCCCATGCCAAATTGAGAAGAAGGAACAACCAAAGAAGTTTGACATGGGGTTGGGCCATGCATCCTACTTTCAAGCTAATGTGGACCGAACCAAAGAAGAAAGATTAGTTTGTGGAATTGAGCGCAATTGGAAGCGAAGAAAGCGGAAGATCAAGATCAAGAAAACGGCGGTTGGCTACAACGTTGAGGACAAGGTCGCTTCGAAGGAGGGTGGAATGTTAGACATATAATTAGTAGAATAATAATAATTAATAATGTTAGTTAAGTAGGGTTAGGCGGCTAACCTAGGCCGATTAGGTTAGGATTAGTTAATTAGGGTTTTGGGTTTATTGCTATAAATATGTACTTTGGGTTTACGTCATAGGGAGTCAAGAAAAGTATTAAGCAGAGTGTTCTCCTAAACCTAATATCTCTCAACTCCTAATTTCTATTCCCTCCTAATCTAGTGCCTCGGCCGATTCCCAATTCTATTATGTTCTTCTCATCTAAATCCCTAATCTCAACCCTAAATCCCTATTGGTTACAAGCAATATAGTCAAAATCGCGCTTTAAAACTTAAAAACTTACGATTTTACGTTTCTAGGCCACTAAAACGCTTTCACACAAAATCTCAGTTTTTATAGCTTATGTAGTTAAAAACTCCGCTTTAAAACTTAAAAACTTACGATTTTATACTTCTAGATCACCAAAACGTTTCTACGTAGAAAATCGCTTTTGACTGCATTGGTTACAAGTAGTTACGGGTGTCGGAGATCAGTCCCTAGAATCCCTAGAAGCGGGGTTCTTTCACCCTCTCTGTTCACAACCACCTACACCACACGACTCCATTCAATCCAACGAGCCATGGTAGCTAGTTAAGGGGAAGCAACTCCAGGGTAAAACTCCCTTAGTTAGAATTTTCCTTTATTTACTTTTATTTGCTTGTTTAGTTTGTAGTTCCATTAGTTCTAAACCCCAAAAGTTGCTTGCTAGATAACAACCTAAGCGATTGAAGTAGGGGTACATGGATCGGCCCGGGTTGATAACTAAAACTTACTTGCCCTATGTTGCACCTGTACGTGGGCACCGGGCCGTGCCGCCCACGGGCTAGCACGGCACAGCACAATTAGATCACGGCACGAGCACGGGCACGAAATAAATGGGTCAGCCCGGCACGAGCACGAATAATTTATAGGCTGTGTCGGGCCTAAACTTCATGAGCACGGGCACAGCACGGTATATAAGTGGGTCGTGTCGGGCCTAATATTTTCGAGACTTTATTGAGTATAAGAACGAACATGGCACGAAAATAATATTTATTTGATAGAAAATAAATATAAAAAGAATTATAGGTTCAAATATTACAAAACACAAGTAGAAAAATAATTATTTTTTGTTGTTAGAAGTGTCATAAAGATATATACGTAATTACTAACATAAGTAAAAATGGATAAAGAATTAAACAAAGCCAAATCACACTCGCTATACTCCCAATTTTCTTTTCCCCCTTTGTTACTTTTCTCAAACATTATCGATCAATACTATCTTCCTCCGTCCAATTTTCACCTTATTTTTCATTCTCTCTTTTGTTTTCGTCCTTTTCATTAAACACGAATACGAGGATGGCACGAGCACGGTTTGAATCGTGCCTGGGACGGGCCTAGCAAAGTTTACAAATGGGCTTGCATGGCACGACACTAAAACTGACGGGCCGTGCCAAACACGAAAACTGACAGGTCATGCCAAACACGGCACGAAATAAATGGGCCTGAAGCGTGCCCGTGCCGTGTCGGCCCAAGCACGGCCCAGCGCCCATGTACAACTGCACCGCTCTAGAGTTTAAAAAAAAAAAAAACTTGGGCTCTAGAGGAGATTTCTAGTGTGGTGTTTTGTGTGAGTCAAAGCCTTAGCAAGTAGCAACTTCTTGTTTGCGGATGACTTTCAACTTACGGCCATCCATAAACTCTAGTGAACCTCCCACTTGCTCTCCCATCACAATCTCTAATTACAACCTCAATGAAATTTTGGGAAGAATCTATTACCACGAGATTTACCTCTTTTTTCCAGAATAAACACAACATCCCGCTTTACCCGTCATTGCAACTCCCTTACCCATCTCAAAGCCTAAGACCAACTTTAGTGGTGGGCTGGAATTCCAAAAAATTGGACCAGCCCCACTTTAGTAAGGTTTCAAAAGGCCAAAAGTTACAATTGATCCAAAAATTGGGTCCAAATTTGGCCCAGAAAAGGACAAAAAGTTCCAAAAGATAGTGTGGCCACATGGGGGAAAAGCAGACGACCCCACCTGCCAAAAAGAGCTTTAATAATAATAAAAAAAGAAATAACTTTACCTTTTAGTACTCACAATCTCCTCCAACGGCTCTTTCGGTCCAAATAAGAGACCGTCATTAATTAAGTCATATTTACAAATAATTTTTTTTGGTCGGAATTCAAAAAAAAATTGTCGAAATGTTCGTCTTAATTAATTATTCGTACCTATATAAAATTAATGAACAAATTTTGTAATTAGAATGATGAAATATATACAAAACTGGATTATGAGTTAAAGCGCAAATCTGGAAATTTGGACTTTTGGAACACACTACTAATACCAAAATACCTTTTGAGGGGCTAGAATTTGAATTATAGCCTCAAATTTTGGATTTTGGATCTAATCCCTAAAGATGGTCTAACTCAATCTTCTTCTTCTTCCGTTCAACTTCCGATAGTTTTATCTCCATCAAGAATACTATATGGGCAATCCAAACACAGTTGAATAACATAATTCTGAATCTTTCCCAAAAGTCCAGCTCTATGATATCATTTATTCTGCCAAAATATTTTATAGCCTCTGCAGGATTTTTTGTTTTTGGCATGATAACCACACCAATTTTTTTAGATGTATATTCTTCCATGCCTTTAGAGTGGACCCTAGTCCCTTTCATCAAAGCAGTTAAAATCCCGATTTAAATCTTAAAATCTTACGATTTTATGATTTTACTTACCTGTTCCGATTTTGATTTCACTATAAAATCTATGGATCTTAAAATCCTACACTATTCACTATTTAAAATCTTAAAATCTCTAAAATTTTACGGTTTTATAATTCAAATATTTTCCTCATAATTTGCAAAACTAAGCCTCTTTTCCTCTCCTCCATCAAAATTATCTAGTTCTCTCACACTAACCACCATCGACCATCATTAATTCACATTAACGTATTAATCATCATCGATTCGTCACTTTTCAACATTAACCTTGATAAATTGGAACATTAACCTTGATAAATTGTCATTGTATGTGTTATGTGTTTTAGTGTTATTCATGATTTTCCTTATTAATATTATTTCTTCTTCAATTTTATATTGACCTTAAACTCATACGATTTTATGATTCGATTTTACGATTTCGATTTTTCCATCATTTTTGACTTTACGTAAAATCCTGATTTTGACTGATATGCCTTATATATCCACTAAATTTTCGAGCCACTATATTTAGACTTTGGAATAGCCATCTACATATTCAGTTACTCGTGTGGTGAGCCTTTTAGATAACCTAGAAACCTAAAAAAAATAAATATCAATTTGTTAGAAAGAATATGTTAATAACAAAATTAAATAAAAAAATAATTATTATGTTATTTTGTTTTGTCAACTATTCTTACGTAACCCTTCAATCATTCTACAAAATTAGCATTTTGTTTCAATGTGACACCTATAAATGTCGGAAAAAAATGACGTTTATCCATTCTTAAAAACATCACTGAAACCTGGAATGAGAAGATTCAAATGTCACAATAACCATATTTGTGTGACATTTAAAACCACTGAAAGAATGATTGCTTGTGACAATGTATCCATCGTAGTAAACATGGAACCATTCACTAACATTTCTCGTAAATGTTGGTAAAATAAGAAATTAGAAAACTTTATGCGACATCTGTTAGACGCTTCCAAAATTGTCGGTATATGCTTGTTGTGACATTTTATTATCTTTTAACGATGCATCATAACATTTTGGTTTTTAAGAGAAAATTATTTCGTTGTTAACAACTTTTTGGATAATGCGATCATTGCAATCTACGCATTTTTCAAATCCATTCATCCAACCCCTCGCTGATGCTCGAATACCAGACCTCTAGGGCAAGGTGGTTAAGGTTTTATATCAACGGAAACCTGTTCCTCGTCGATACTGTGTGCGCATTTCATTTCATATGCACTCTGGAGTCTGCTCGCTGCATTCATAGACAACCACCGTTCAGCCCTGGAATTGCAGCTCCATTCGTCTGTTAATCTGAGCGAGTAACACCGTACCCAAACCACAATCTCATCGTCCAGCCCGTAGCAGATGAACACATTTGCTAGTCTTATGGATCACTACATGTTTATTAAACGCACTGTGACGGCAGGCAAGTTAAGATACTGACCGGCAAAAAGGTTAGGCAAGGCAGTGGAGTAAGAGCCGAATGGCAAAAAAGGGATACAAGAACATAAATTGGCTGTGACACAGTTCAAACCCGCAATTACCAAAGGCTTAAATGACCTCTAACTATATCAATTTCACAGGATATCCACAAAGGAGGGCCGCCACTTCCATCCAAGACAAAGAGGCTCAAAATCAATGCAAAAAAGCTAAACCTTTCTGTTATCCCCACAAGGCTTGCCCATCTATACATCCAGGACCCAAAATTTCTCCCGGCCATTAGTAGAATCTACACCGTTTTACTATGGTCTGCTACGTTAAAATGAAGTTTAGCAAGTTTCACCGCTTGCCTTTGCTATTACG